TCGGAAAACATTCTGGGTTCATTAGCCTTTAGCAATATAGGTCATCGCAAAAAAATAAAGCAACTTGACAAATTACGACAATATAAATTTATTATAAGATGTGTAGGTACCTCAAAATTATTGTAAGCGCCATTCTAGATACGATATTACCAAGTTTGTCAACGACATCACACAGGGGATCGGTTTCGAGATTTTGAGTTATGCATAACATCAGTGAATAACCACAACACTAAAATTCAGCATTTCTAATACCTTGTAAAAGTCGAGGGTATCGACAAGGTTTTAGAATGTGTATAAATACATTTTTAAGTGTTGTGGTTTTTCAATGATGTCATCCATTACTCAAAATCACGAAACCGAGCCCCTGTGAACGTCGTCTGCTAACGATGCTAATCTGACCGATTAGAGATGACATCTATTTCAAACGAAATGTCCTTGGAAGCGTTATCACCTACTGAAAGGACCACTTTAATTAAACATTACCGAGTATATATGCTTCTGAAAATAACGTAATATTACAGACGAAGGAAACAATTAAGTCCGTTCAGCGCCGCATCACTTCAAAATACATGTAATCTAGCAATGCACGAAAACAGCTTTAATTTTAAACAAGCATAAGTTATGCAATTATTAACAATTTAACATATACACACTCATATGAAATAAATAAGGGGCGACATTCTATTTATCTGTCACACAAATTTCATTCATATCGACTGCATTATCTGGTAACAGTTCAATGCTTAAATATATTTTTAGATATAACACATAAATCAGAGCAAATTACGCATACGATAGCATAAAATCGATGTCGATTTCCGCTACGCCTTCAAAACCCGACAGGTATTATTGCATACGTTTCCAGCGTAGCCGAAATCGATATCAATTTTATGAACAACTCGTACACATTTTACACCTTTGTGTGCATACGCTTCATTGGTCATTTGTCTGATGAAGGTGACAGTGTACATATCGTTCTAGTCATCGAAACGTCACAATAAAAATGTTATTGGTTGTGTTAAAAGAACTTCTCATAATCAATAAGGTATCATTTACCTTTTCGTACTGTGTTTTGTTATCGGGTTCATCAGACAATCAGCTGACGTCATTACAGTTGTTAAAGACTTGTCTTGTATTGACGTACGATCGACAATTGACATTCTATGTTTGTAAACAATGATTAATTGATATGATGTGATAATATACAAAACAGTCAACGGGACCATATGACAAGACTATGACAAAGGTATGTCGGGAATTCGGTGTGTGCTATTGCACACCGTCACAATATGGAGTTGGGAACTGCTCTCAGGTCCCAAAATCTATAATAATAGGCGGAGGAAAATCACTCACGTGTGTTAAGTATTGATTCAGGATGTAATGAGTCCGCGCCAATACGTCACAGCGAGGTTGTTGGGTAGCTCGACGCGAGCTCGTGTCGGCGTGGTCCACGTTCCAAGGGAAATCACTCTCCCGTAATTCACCACAGGTAGAAACACAAGTGTATATTTTCACAATAAAACTAAGCAAACCACACTCAAAGAAAGAGGTAATTATTATTGCTAATGATGTTAACGTATTGCTGTCTTTGCAAAGGAGTAGCCCGCGCCTGTAACACAACAGACATAAGCATTCATGTTTAAATCGCATGACGTACACTACAAAAGTTATACAGGTTTATTGTTAAGATTTCAAGTTATTCAAAGTTAAAATGGGGACAGTTGTGAAAAAGTTATCTAATGTCGTGTATGTCTTCATCGAACAGCTAGCATTTTTAATTATCGGTACATAGTGTTGATAATGTCAATCTTGCAACGTATAGACTCGCATTACCTGTTAGAGAGTTAGCTGATGCTTCCTAGCTAACGGCACAACATGATTCCGTGAGAGTTCATTTCGGTAGCTCCTTTATTTGCCACTTGAACAGTCAGTTCTGTCTTTCCTGTACTTTGGAATTATGGTTTTGCTATGTGGCCTGACCTGTGACCATGTTTTACTGCGACAATCGTAACACATATTAAGAGCATAAAATAGTTTCCAGAATACCCTTTGGAATAACATCATGCCGTGTATTTCCTTATCTTTTTTTGGTCGAAGTTAAAACAAATGACAAAAACAACTTACAGAAAAACAAGTACACGCTTGCGTTCAGCAAAATTCGATCTTCATACACCTTTTGTCTTGCTATAAACTGAGAGCCGTATGTTTGTACTGTTTTGTGATACCTATATATCCGGATCCTGACAAAATGAGACTTGAAAATCCGCCAAAAATCACTAAATACATGTAGTGTGTGTGTGTGCGCGCGTCCTGTTAGCGGTATCATCAATCTAGTGGTTAACGTGGAAATTGTAGCGATAATCCGCCAGGATGCACAATTTGTTTTTTTTTTTAAATATAGGAGATTTTTCATAGCAAACATTTAGAAAAATACAGGATTGTATTTCCCTGAAAGAAGTGGAATCAAGATTTATGTTATGTTATGCTTTAGGTCCCTGTAGGGTTTGTTCTGCCTAAATATCCGGATCCTGACAAAAATGAGACGACTGGAAAGTCAGTAAAAAAACGCTAAATACATTTCATTTTTGTGTGCATGCGCGCGTCCTGTTAGCGGTATCGTCAGTTTAGTGGTAAACACGGATATTTTAGATATAATTCGCCAGGATGCACAATTTGTTTTATTTTTAAATATAGGATATAATTCATAGAAAACATTTCGAAGTTCTTGCAACAATCCTGGTTACATATAGAAATATGTGAAATTAATGTTTTAAACATATTCCACTTTTAGATCGTAAATGTGTGAAGCTGATTAAGTAGAACTGTGTCTTAAGGGCAATACGTCATTGTTATTAATTATTTCCCCGTAAAACAAATATAGTTTTTACCTTAAGTTTTCAACAAAGTTCAACAAGCTAAACATAATTATAATAACTTTTAACAATCTCCAATGCAATGTTTTATCTGTAACTTAAACAAATATTTTGACGTAATACACTTGGACAGGTATTTACATAACAAATTGTATGTGTTGTTGGTGTCTATGTATAGATGACACAATATCAGTAGCAGTCTAGAACTTGCACAGCAGTAGAAAATTACATTTCTTTAGTGTGATGCTCGTTTAAAACATTGTCACATCGGATGCTTTATGTTATTACCGAATTAACTGACATGACTACCCATGCCACGCGTTGTCCGGACTGCAGTAGGTAAGTGCATTGTAATATTTGATATTCTTAATCACTTACTTCACCGCATTGTTCTGAAATAAATGAACTTCTTAAAATATATCTAAACACAATGAAACCAATAAATCACAATAAATTTATTTTATACCTATTATATTCTTTTTATTTAACTTCAGAGCAACAGATTAGAGTATAACATAAGATTTTGAGGATTTCTACTGCAGTTTTAATTAAAGCTATTATTAGTCGCAATCAACAGGTGCTCGTTGATTTGACGTAACACATATGAAGAGCAAAAAATAGTTACCAGAATACGATTTAGGATAACATCATGTCATGTATTGCCTTACCTTTTTTTGTTTTAAAAAATATATGCTCTAGAGATATTTAAGAACTTGAAAATAAATACTATGATCATCGTTAAAAACAAATGACAAAAACAATGAACAAAAAAACAAAAACAAAAAACGCGCTTACACCTTTTGTCTCGTTCTCAATCGAGAGCCGTATTTTATATATGTTATTTTAATTTAACTTCAGAAATACAGATAAGAGTGTAACATAAGGTTTTGAAGATTTCTCCTACAGTTTTTATTAGGGCTATAGTTAGTTAGAATCAACAGATGCTCGTTGATTTGACGACTGGTTAAAGTTCAGGGTCCTTGTTACACATTGCTGTATTTTTTTAAGTAACCTCCCCTAATTGACATAACTGTAGCGCAGTTGGGCAATCCGTTGACCGGTTATAGATAGATAGAGTAATAGTAAAACAATTCTAATTTCATAATTCGATTCCTGGGCCCGTATTCATGAATCCGTTCTAATGCTCAAGCATGGATTTAGTGCTCAAATCTACTTTCTTTGAACTCACTTTAGTCATATTAAACTATCTAAAGTCAAATATAAACATTGTAAACAGAATTTGGATGAAAGAATCTTCTAATAATTTTTCAAATCATTGGCAAAATATTATTTCATTATTAGTTGATAAAAATGTAAATCACATATTAAGCACAAACAAAAAATCTCCACTAAAACACTACTCATATGGCTCACGATTAGGACAAATCTATCATGCTAGATTATGTATGTCAAGTAGCTCTCTTGATGAACATTTATATTTGGAAAAACATCATTGGATCCCCTCTATGCGCAAATAGTAGCATCGAAAACACTTCTCATTACCTGCTAGGATGTACCTTATACACTGACAACTACACATTGAAACCCTTCAGTATCATATTACTGTCAAATAGGTATTATATGGCGATGAATCGTTATCTTTAGAAGAAAGTAAAATAACTGTTCTCGCTATTCAGGACTACATTCTTAAGTCAAAGCTAATGAAGATTGCAGATTACGTATCTGACTAGTCATCGAAACGTTTCACATAAACACTTTACTGGCTGTTTTATATGAACATGTACACTGTCTATACTTACCAACCGGACATCAACGTTTAGCAATATTGATTGTTCTCTTTGGTGATGATAAAAGGACCTTTCATTCTTAAGGATTTTAACCATTTCATAGAGCAAAGCTGTAGAGTGTAAGCAATAATAAATTGTAACGTCGTGGAGTGTGTTTCCAGTGTTAGTGTATTATATTTGATCAAAGGTATATTCTGGTTACTCCATCTTGGATCCGTCTGGTCCTGGCTCTTGGCTCCTTTGGTTGTTCTGATAACTACTCTACTTCAACAACAACTCGAGACAGAAATACAATTTAACTTTGATATTTATTCAAATCACAACTTCATATCTACAAACACTGTACACAATGGCATCCTTAATTAATATATAATAGAAATTGAGAATAACGACGGAGTGCCGTTATAAATAAAAGAGATAAAAGGTGTAAGCGCGTATTTTTTTATTTTGTTTTTTTCTTTTCGTTTTTTTTTTTGTCATTTGTTTTTAACGATGATCATAGTATTTATTTTCAGGTTCTTAAATATCTCGATGATTCTAAACTTGTAAACACGAACTGTTTTCAATCGAGACAATATTAAATGGTATCATAATTAGATAACTTGTAGCTAAAAGACATTTACTATACAGGTTAATTATGATAATAAATGTAGTAGACAAATAACGAAGTTATTTATCAATACACAGACTATAGCAGGTAGGCAAAAGTACAGTCGTTACAAATAGTAAGGACATTCTCACTGAACCATCAAATAAGTTTGGCAAATTAGAACTCGTCGAATATCATATTATAAAAAATCAGTATTCTTTTATCAACAAACAACTTTGCGGATAAGAATGGATAATTAAAATTGAGAAACGTCTTTGGTTTCGCTCTGATGATGCCTTTATTCACATTTTTAAACTTTTTTGTCTGTTTCAAACGTTTAAAGCTTGTATTCCAGTTCTGACCAAGAGGCACAGTCTATCAAGAAGAACCCGTCACCCAGAAGATGGTTTGTGTTGACATCAGGATATTTTGTCATGTTTCTCAGCACTGGGTTCCCCTTCAATATATTCATCCTCAACCCCGAGTTCCTTCGTACTTTTGAGAGCAATAAAGCAGAAACGGCTCTTATACAATCGATCACAACCGGGATGCTTCATATAGCAGGTAAGCTACTTAGATGTGTAGCAGAAATGGGGTGATGCGCCCACCGGTGCAACAGGTTATTCATTTGGATAAAGCGTGCACTATGTGTTCCGGGATCGCAGATCCCAGAGGTCCGGATTGTATCTCGGATTCGATTCCAGTCTGCCCGTTGTATTTAAAATGACTTTCATGTTGCATCTTGTGCCTAACTTAATATTCCCCGAAGGGTGGAATAGGGTCTCGTGTCTTCAGGTTGAAGACTTTGTGGAAGGAGGGATAGGTTTAGCGGAACCTGACTGGGTACAACGTCGGTAACCAGGTAGTTCAGTTGGTAAGAACGGCGTTCTAGAGTTCGGAGGATCTGGCCTTTGTATTTTTCTTTTCTTTTACTCCTGTTTCAACGGAGAAATTCAACGATAATGTAAAGTGTACAGTTAATAATTGATAACTAATTTCAATTCATATCAACGTGTAATTAATTTCAAGCGCACGAAATTGATATTTCAGAATAAATTACATAAAACATATGTCGTATCGCATGATGGAATACATAGCAAACCTTGACTTTTGGTTTAAAAAATTCGGGCAATACTGTTCACATCGCCCAATAATATATAATTAAAAATCAATAAAAAGTGTCATTACATCACCGACATGGGAGATCATACATTCAGTAAAGTTATCAGTTTAATAATAGACTTATTTGATTACAGTTTTTTCATGATTTGTTTTGTCGATATATTAAATTTTAAATTTTAAGACGTAAGTCTGTACCGAATGTTTAAAACAAATATTTTAAATACTTGCTTTGCTTTTATCCATACAGGAACTTTCTGTTGGAAGGCTGTGGCTAGATACGGACCTCGAATGACTGGGATAGCTGGTAGTCTTTTGGTGACACTTGGTCTGGTCTTCTCTTTCTTTGCCGAAAGTATCCCTCATCTCATCATGACGCTCGGCCTAGTTTCAGGTATGACAGAAAAAATATTATCACAGACATAAACTATTGTTGATTATACAGAGACGATGCAGAAGTGTTGGAAACATGATTCAAGAAAGCAAGTTTGTCCAGAGTAAATTATGTTTTAATATATTTCACTCAAACATATGCTGAATGTTTATATTCTACCATTTGAAAAAAAGAATATCATGTGATTTTCGTATTTCCTTCAGTGTCGATAAGGTCACGTGACCTTCATAACTCAATAAATAAAGCTTAGCTCCTTCTTCTTGCACTTGGAAACATTTGATGCATGATGCTTCTTTTTTCTTTTCACAAACGTATCAATTTTGCACCTTTACATTTGTACTGCAGCCGATGGCATACTTTCTGAAAGTTACAGTTATGTGTGCTTTTCTGCAAGTTAACATGGATGTGTGTGAAAAAAATATATCAAATATTCATGCATATGAACGCGTGTTCCCTCGCATAATTCGTCGAACAGCTCAGATGTTTACATTGGAATATAGAGGAGGGTGTTGAAAAGCATTACACGTGAATTGCTTATTTAAAAATTAAGCATCCCTGTCCCACTGCAATGTGTTTTCCCTTATACAGTAACCTCCCCATAACTTTCGTTTGGATATAACTGTAGCACTGTTGGACAAGGACACATCCATTGACAAGATGGTTAAAGCATCGGTTAAAGCATTAATAAAACAACCTGAATCCCGGTCTTTTCCGCTGAATGTTTACACTCAGAACACTTGTTGATTAGTTTTCAGTTATTTCATATCTTTATCATTTCTTATGAAGTCCCACAAGGTATGATTTCCTTTTTCAGAAATGATTTAACAAAGCTATTTTCATGCTGGAAAAAACAGTTTCCAATACTAGTTATATTCACGATCATGTTTTTTTGTTTTTTGTTAATTTATACATGGTTATCTACCAATGGAAAGAGTCGTTATTATCCGACGTGGAAAACTTCATATCCGATTGTTTATGATAAAGAAACATTATGAGAGGAATGGTGTTCCTTTTTGGTCAGGTTATGAGTTGATAACACCTGTTAAGCACGGACAAATTGAGAAGACGTCGAAGCTGTGTAGCAAAGCTGTTACGTCCTCAGTTGGAACTGTCACTTCATAACCTGGCCAAAATGACTGTATGGCCTGTATCAATCCAATATCACCAAATATTTATACTCAGCAGTTTACCTTATATGAATACCAGTAACGCATTGTCTAATACTTGAATTTATTCACTGAAGATACTAACTTACTGCCTATTACGCCCGGTGGCGTTTAGGGCAGCAACAAAGTTCAGTGTACTGCAACCTTTGTGATGGAGTCACCTTCCTTTCTTAGCACATGTCCAATTAACCTCCAGCGTCTCTTCTTGATGATGTCTCTCATACTCTCCGTGTTGCACTGTCTCAGCAGTTCATCATTGGAGATTACTCTTGGCCAGAAAAATCTTCAAATTTTTTCTCAGTCTGGTTGTGTAAAATATTGATAATTTCGACAAGTCTTCCTCTGTCATCCGCCAACATTCCGAACCATATAAAAGTGTTGATAGCAAACAGCTCTGTTATATACGCAGCTTGGTTCTGGTGCTATACTGTGCTGATTTCCACAACTCTCTTATGCCTCACTGAAGATAATAGTCTAGTAAATAGAATATTGAACAAGTATTTTTACATCAATGAGTTACTTACCCTTATCGCAATTATCATATCAATGTATAAATATGTCTGTGTTTATTACCACCTGTTGTCGCTTTAAGGAGAGGACTTCGATATGCTATGCCTGATGTCTGATCCTATTGACTATTGCTTATATTGCCGATAAAATTTGTTGAAATTGAAATTGAACCTGTCCAAAATAAAATTGAGGTGGAAAAATTCATTAATTGGAGCACGATTCAATTTTTAAATTATGTAAGTCAAAAGACATTCCAAGCAAGAATAATACATGTTTTGTACGTTCAAGATTTTGGGAATTCATAGTGATAGATTAAAGGGAATCCACCTGGTACTTGGTATGCCTAAACATACCAGGGACAATATTTTAGACTACTACGAGCAAAATCAAACTGCATGTATGATCAAATTTGCTCTAGAGTTGATAATAGAACATTGCAATATCACTCAAAAGAGTTGCCTAATCAGCAGAGGAAATTTTGATGATTATAGCATGTTCGGTTTAGCATTTTCCACTAACTTCAAATGTTTTATATACTAAATATGGTTTCAATTTCAACAGGAATTGGTTTCTCTGCGACTGTTATCTCCGCAGTAACAAGCGTCGGAGAATACTTTGAGGGGAAATCTAAACTTTTGGCGCTATCGTTTCTCACCTTTGGATCAGGATGCGGTGGGATAACAATGCCCTTCCTCCTAAACTCCCTCGTTAAAGAGTTCGGTTGGAGAGGATGTTTACTAGTCATAGGAGGACTTATGGCAAATATGACGTGTTTCTTTGCAGTATGCAAACCACTCTCGATCCAACAAACTACTAAAGCGAATAAATTAAAGAAAGTAGACTGTGAAACAAAACCTACAGAGCAGGGTTTTACGAAATCACTAAGATCACTGGTCACTAATAAAGTTTACATAGCACACGTCGTTGCCATGTGTTGTACACTTCCGGTTATAAATTCTTCATTAATTTTCATAATTGATTTCCTGACGATGAAAGGTTTTGACTCGAAAACAGCAATATTAATGTATTTATATTTACAAATAGGAAGCACGTTATGTGGAGTCATACCAGGCTTGTGTAAAAAGTACATTCCTCACACCAGCGTTCTTATTATCCCTGCATGTTTCACAATAATCGGATCGGTGGCGACTGCGTTGCTTCCTCATGCAGAGACATATGTACAGTATGTTGTCCTCCTGGTCTGTTTGGGGATGACGTTAGGTGTTAGCGTCACCACGGTCTCCGTGACAACAGTGAAGATCGTGAGACTCCAGGACTACTCGGCAGGGTTGGGAGTATTAATGACGATGTTAGGCATCAGTGGAAGCATTTCAGGACCAAGTGCAGGTGAGTTCGATCTGACCTGTAACATCCACGATACTCCAGAGGTTACGATCACGTATGTTCTCTGCACCCCTGGAATATGTCATAGCAAAATCGAAGTCCCAGTGTGCGACACCTTAACTGTGGATGAGCCAAGACAACTAGTTTGAGCCTTCGATCTACATCAAAAGAATCGTGTGACTTATAAATTGAGGTGCTTTGAACTCGGGCTTCGCTTCTCTGTAATCTTCAAAGAAATTTCCATCAGCCTTGTGATAAGTCATTATTTCCTTGAGATCAATCAAATAGCTAGCTGCGTGCCTTCAATTTTGCTATGACACATCGAGGATGGACCTGTAACTATATTGCTGTTATTGCTTTGGTTTTACATGTTTTTACGTTAGCTCTCCTGTTACGAGTAGTTTACGTTGTGGGTTTTGTTTTTGTTTTTATTGACGTGTCTTTACTTTGATTTGACCTAGAATTATATTGCTGCTGTCGTTAATGAAGCAGAAGACGATTTTCCTTCCGGAACACCTGGTCTTATTCTCCTTGTACATTTTCAAGAGTCTCTATGTTAATCTTTTCATTGTTCATATTTAACCCTAACCCTGACCCGAACCCTAACCCTAGTTTTGTCAATTTTGAGTTTGAATTACGTTATTATATTGTATTTTGGATTTGTTTACGCTTTGTCTTGATTTTGTATACTCATGTTTTGCTGTCAGTAAAGATTGTGTACGTTTTCGAAGAACTATGTTTTCAATATACGTTTTCTATATAATAGGATTTTTTGTTGATCTGACGGGATCCTACACGAAGCCATTTTACGGTATGTCCGCTGGTCTCGGCTTGGCGGCCGGCCTGTTCGTGTTAGCTGCGGTACTAAAACGGAAGTCAAATAACAACCATTCTGACCACGTCTCGGATATCACTGTGGTCGTGGGAGCCGACAATCCTGCGTTTTCCATATAAAGAGAGAACATGTTGGTTGATTTCTTATATAGAGAAGTAGATATACCATCGTATTTGTGGCAAGCGACAAAATGTGGCAAAGTTCTATTTTAACACAGGAGCCTGAAGTACTGTCAAAAATTGATTAATAATAACAGTAATACAAAAAATACCTTTATGGTGCTTTAAAATATTTTTAAGCATATAGGAATTTCTTTTGTATTAATATATTTGGATTTTAATTGCTTAGTTGTGTCGCAATTTCAGGCGATATTTTACTGTACGAACACGTTCTGGGACCTTTATTTAGATGCATTATAAATCAATGATATACACTTCACTCTTTGGTGTAAATCAAAATTAACCAATTATCCTATATTTCCAAATATTTCATGAAATGAAGCGGTTTAACGCATATATCCTTCTTTTCAACAGTTAACTAGACCAATTGCGATCCCGCCTTTTTGGCCCAAAGCATCGTCGATGAGTCCTAGAATACGAAACAGCTGAATATGCAGTAGCATACTGTATCCATTTCCCAATTTTAAAGGCAAAATCATCTGTGTGTGTTACATTCATCTTATAGGGGGAAACTGTTACTATCACGCAGTTTCAACAGCACAAGCATGCATTGAACCCTAAAAAAGAATGTGTCTGAATTATGATATCCCCTTGTGAGGTTTCAGTAATTAGTGTTCAGGAGGGTGCGGCACCAAAGCGAGACGACATTTACCAAAGGAAGCATTAATATTTATTACATATTTTCAAGACATGAATATGGTATCCAATTAAAAGTTAAAGTGAAGGATATGTTGATATGACAATCTCATTTTACTCTGTGCAATCACCCCTACTGATAAACTCTGCAGACACGCGTGAACAATAGTCGGCTTGATGCGAACATTACTGTATTCCGTTTTGTAGAATATGAATTATGTCCCTCCGAAAAGGGTAAAGATTTGCATTAAATAATCCAAGAGTTGCTTAAATGTATTAACTCATTCACGCCTGAAACGTTGTAATTAACTATTTCAACCTTTAAATTGGAGGAGCTCAAATGTGTCTTGACGGATAAATGAGTTAAGACCTTTTTAAAGCAGTAGTGGTTATAATAATAATAATAATAATAATAATAATAATAATTGGAGGTTCTTATATACCGCTTTATCACAACCTAGTTCGTAGGTCGTTTCAAAGCGGTTCACAAATTATTATTCGACGTTATAGGGCCTTTGCAGCCAGCCAGTACCTTTCTCAACTCTCTGGGAGCATACAGCCGGAGCTGTCATTTCGGCGCTAACAGCTAGCGTTCAACAATTCTAGCACTGCCCAACCACGTACTCATTTACAGCTGAGTAGAATGGAACAATCGGAGTAAAGTATCTTGCTCAAAGATACAACAAATTGCCGTGCCGTGCCGTGCCGTGGCGCGAACCCGCAACTATTCGGTCACGAGCCCGGCGTCCTACCACTGGACTACCTTGCCTCCACGATTATTAGGTTTCCATAAGCTTATTGATGTTATTTCAGCAAATCAAATTATAGTAAAAACGTTACTTAATACTCCCTCTATATTATTGTGAAGTTATCAATTTGTGGTTTTAATTATGATTGCCAAGGTAACCAGTTCAAATTTCCATATTTCAGAGAAATTTATCAGAAAATAGGTCAATTTTATCGACTCCTTTCATAATTTTCTCATAGACGCTATAGAGTAAATTCTTGAACAACCCTTATATTATGGGATTTTGTGTAATAACTCGTCTTTAGAAGAGACATAGTTTGCTGAATAAATGTGCTGTATTATTCTCAATATCAATGGTTCCAATCATTTTTAGTTGAAATACTCCATTAACATGAGAGAATGAGATGTGAACGTTATTTCCCTTTACAACTACGCTTGTACCAGTATAGGTCCCTCGGAGATGGCATAAACAAGTTACCTTTTTTCTCTCAGACCATTAGACATATGAATTAGAAAAGCTCTGCCATTTAGGGTTCTCCTTCACAATATTTTTTGAATTCGTTGAAATTATACTCATTTCAGACCCGAATTATAAAGTTCAATCCTACCGTTTTAGTAACTCGAGTCCCATGTCACCTAATCATTGTCTTTGATAAACATCAATAGTATTTGGGGAAGTTGAACAAATGAAAATTGCAATAAAATCGACGCAAAACATCAACAATGAAAGGTTACATTAGCCAAGCCAAAGGTTCAATTGACATAAAAAGCTAACTCACTTTTTTATTAGAAAACCATTTATTAACTTTTAAAACATGTACATGTATTTCCTTACACAAAGGCTTGCACCGTTTTCAATAATCTTTTAATCTAACAGAACATACTATCTCCCACATACATACTTGACAACTGTACAAATAAAACTTTCATTCATTACATTAAGTGATAAATACCAAGATCCCCTAAATGTTTGCTTACTCCAAACTTTTCAAACAAAACAAAAACAATCATTTAAATAACAAACACCAGTGATAGGGACAACAAATGAACAATTTAAGGGAAACATCTTTGAACCTGTGAAATGCTTCAATCATTAATAGTCACTGGAAAAAACCCTTAACCTATTGAATCAATGTCAAAGCAAATCACATCAGGCAATGAAATATGTGATGCATTCAATAAGACAAGCATTCTAAGCATTTGCAAATGGTCATATTTGTTATCCCCAAGAAAATAATACAAAAATAATTATATTTTACTACTAATTTAGATAAGATTTGGTATTAAAATATTAATAGCAGTACCTTCCTATTATAAAATCAACCAGAGGAGCAGAAGAGTTAAAAGGGGCTTTTGCAAACATTTCAAATATTACTGAAAATACCCACTTAATAACATTGACGTTAAATGGTATCACTGTACCACGTAGATTTCAACCACAGAGCTGGTCTTTCAACTGAGAGATCTCCTTACACGTGTATCAAAAACAAGAAAATAAAAACAGGAAAATGATTTTTTCTTAATGTATTGCTTCACTTAAAAGTGTATTCATCTTTCATTTTAATACTGTGCATTAACACAATTCCTCAATAAGTGTCTAAGGATTGACAAACGATAGGTTTTGAATTTGACCTCTGGAAACTCTGCTTTACAATTTTTGTTTATTTTCATTAATGTAATGTAGTTTACAATTACTAAAATTTCCAGCAACTATAATTCTGTAAAATACATCACAAAATGTGTTTTATATGGAATAAATCTAGAAAATGGCATGAAACAAACTTTTCATAATATTTTCAAAGGCTATAATATATTCACTCTCTAACTAAAGTGTGGTAAGTGTGACTTATTCATCAGGTTCCTGGAATGCTAAGACAATTCCGTATTATCAAATAATCTGAATTTAACGAATTTTGGTTTGACATTTGTTAAGGATATATATATAGAGGGGAAAATAAAGCTATAACATGTCATTACACCAGGTAAACATAGTAATTTTGGTTAGACATGTTTTAAGGATATATACAAGCTGTGATCATTCTCAGTCTCGGGAGTTACCTCAGGTTTGATAAGCTCTCTCTATATTAATTTACAATCATTCTTCACAGTTATTGGTTCAGTCAATAAAGCATGTTAATAATATGCCTTGACCTACAAAATATGCTTATATCTCTCTTTTTGGCTATTCCACAAACAAAGAGGGGAAGGGAGGCAACTGTATCTGCTACCCACCACCTAACAACCATCTTGTCCTTGATGTCAACAATGAATTCGGACATCACCAACCAAATGTTAATTATTAAAATGTTCAGCCCCTTCTCCACACATATTTGCCACTCTGGGTTAGCCCTAGAGATGGAAAATTCTTTATTACATTGAATAAAAAAAACAATATTAATTTTCTTTCTCAAGAAATATTAGGTTCTCTTTAAATGGTATTTAAACATTGATACCAATACACTGCAATGATAATATAACTTGGTGATAATATAACTTGGTGATGATATAAAAAGCTTATAAAAACACTATTTCTCCAATAACTTACTGCATAATTCACTTGTGAAATCATCACAAAAGACTTTTTACACAATGTGAAATAGCTGAAAAATATCTAAAAGGTCGGCTGTGATCAAACTGACATCAGAACAGCAAAAATATGACAAGTCACATAAAATATTGGATAAATGAAACATCTTTTAGAACGATTACACATATTGATATTTTAGTCAAAACTGTCTCAAATGCAAGCAGGTTTACAAAACAATCTATGTATTTCCTGTCATTCTATATCAACTCATTCAATCCTGAAGACACATTTACACTCTTCCAATTCAAAGGTTGGAATAGTTCATTATGACATTTCAGGGATGAATGAGTTATACACTGCACAGTGATGAAATTCTGGTTAGTTTATTCACAGTTTAAAACCTATCTTCAGCTAGTAGTTTACAACATATATTATTTATCCTTATATACATTTTTAAATATAACACATAAATCAGAGCAAATTACGCATACGATAGTAAATATGTACCATTTGTTTTGAAAAATTACATACTGACTTTTTGTCCTTTTCACAATCAACTATCAAAACTTCTATATACAAAGATAAACAAAATACCTCGATTTTCAATGTGTCATGAATACACGTTCATTAAATGTGAAGATAACTACACATCACGGTGGCATAGCGACGTTTGGCACGCGACAGGAGTGATACGTAGAATATACACTTATATCTCTGGCGTCATATAGACTTTATTTATTTTACAACGATTACGAAAAAAATGTTTTTACAACTAATACTAATCACTCTTGTTGGCCCGGATGTTAGCGCGGATGGGGTCTTACTGTGGGAGGAAACCGGAGTATCCGGGGAAAACCAACGTGGTCGGGAAGGTGACACCAACCTTTTCACGTCTGATCGGGGAATCGAATCCCGGCCGGCTTAGTGAAAGGCAAGATATACAATAGAAATGTCAATAAGGTATCATTTACCTTTTCGTACTGTGTTTTGTTGTAGGGTTCATCAGACAATCAGCTGACGTCATTACAGTTGTTAAAGACTTGTCTTGTATTGACGTACGATCGACAGTTGACAGTCTATGTTTGTAAATAATGATTAATTGATATGTTGTGATAATATACAAAACAGTCCACGGGACCATATGACAAGACTATGACAAGGCATGTCGTGAATTCGGTGAGTGCAGTTGCACACCGTCACAATATGGACTTGGGAACTGCTCTCAGGTCCCAAAATCTATAATAATAGGCGGAGGAAAATCACTCACGTGTGTTCAGTATTGATTCAGGATGTAAAAAGACCGTGCCAATACGTCACAGCGAGGTTGTCGCTATCTCGTGTCGGCGCGGTCTACGTTCCAAGGGAAATAACTCTTCCGAAATTTACCACATGTAGAAACACAAGTGTATATTTTCACAATAAAACTAAACAAACCGAACTCAAAAAAAGGGGTAACTATTATTGTTAACGATGTTAACATAACACAATAAAAGAGTCCCTTTAATCGATGATATGGTCCTCGTTGAATTCCTTGAACTTCAACACTCACAGACAGTCCTTGGGAGCAGTGTAGCAGTACTTAATGTCATAATATATCAACAACCAAGACACAAGTGATCCAGACAGTGTATCTTCTGTGAGAGGATCTGAACAAATCAATTACCGAATGACGCTGATTTCAGGACATTCAGCACTCAATGAAATAATATTTCGTATTCTTCCACTTACATTGAAACTGATAATTATATATAATGTATTCTTTTGAGTGCCAATCTTGGATGTCAACATGTTTTCATTGTTCCAAGCATACGATTCTGCTCTTGCATTTTACATTTTTTTATTGCGACTATCGAACACATATGCAGAGCATAAAATAGTTTCCAGAATAGCCTTTGGGATAACATCGTGTCATGTATTTCCTTACCTTTTTTGGGTGAAGAATATATGTCCTCAAGATATTTAAAAACGAGGAAATGATTATTTTCATCATCGTTAAAAACAATTACACGCTTGCGTTCAGCAAAATTTGATCTTCATACACCTTTTGTCTTGCTATAAACCGAGAGATGTATGTTTGTACTTCAATCCATAATACATACGTATTTAATATCTGTAAGTTCATAGAACAGCTTCGCTTTGCTACATTCCTACATTTAGTGATGAAATATGTTTGTTTTCCCAAAATTTTGTAATTTTATGTGGAAGGAGTATATACTGAATTAACAAGTGTCACGGTGCTATCCTAATGTAATCTATATTAAAATGAATACAAATGACAGCACGACGAGTAATCTTCAGTTTACATAGATATTGTATCCGTCGCCTCAAAATCTAGACAGTGAACAGGTCCCTGTTCTTTTTGATATACCTAAATATCCGGATCCTGACAAAAATGAGAATTAAAAATCCGGCAAATGTCGCTTAATACATTTATTGTGTGTGTGTGCGTGTGCGCGTCCTGTTAGCGGTATCATCAATCTAGTGGTTAACGCGGAAATTGTAGTTATAATCCGCCAGGATGCACAATTTGTTTTATTTTTTAAATATAGCAGATAATTCATAGCAAACATTTAGAAAAATACAGGATTGTATTTTCCTGAAAGGAGTGGAATCAAGATTTATGTTATGTTAGGCTTTAGGTCCCTGTAGGGTTTGTTCTGCCTATATATCCGGATCCTGACAAAAACGAGACGACTGGGAAGTCGGGCAATAAAAACGATAAATACATTTCCTTTTTGTTTGCATGCGCGCGTCCTGTTAGCGGTATCATCGGTTTAGTGGTAAACACGGATATTTTAGATCTAATTCGCCTGGATGCACATTTTGTTTTATTTTAAATATAGGATATAATTCATAGAAAACATTTCGAAATTATTGCAAACAACCCTGGTTACATGTGGAGATATGTGAAATTATTGTTTTAAACGTATTCCGTCGTAAATGTGTGAAGCTGATTAAGTAGAACTGTGTCTTCAGGGCATTATGTCATTGTTATTAATCATTTACTCGTAAAACAGAAATAGTTTTTACCTGAAGTTTTCAACAAAGTTCATTATCTTAACATATGAATAACGTTAAACGACCTACAATGTTTTATCTGTAACTTAAACAAATATTTTGACGTAACACACTTGGACAGGTAATTCCATAACAAACTGTGTGTGTTTTTGGTGTCTGTATATAGATGACACAATATCAGTTGTGATGATATAACATATAATTCTACAACCTGCACAGATATAGAAAATTACATTTCTTTAGTGTGATGCTCGTTTAAAACATTGTCACGTCGGATTCTTTATGTTATTACCGAATTAACTGACATGACTTCCCATACCACGTGTTGTCCGGATTGCAGTAGGTAAGTGCATCGTAATATTTGACAATACATAGGCTGAACATTTTCATTTAGGCCTGATAATACTTACTCGTTCCCAAGATGTTTTTCAAATCATTAGTTGCAACATATTTGCTTCTTAATCCCTTACTTCACCGCATCGTTCGGAATTAAATGAACTTGTCAAAATATCTCTATACACAATGAAACCAATAAATCGAAATAAGTGAAAATTTTATTTTATACCTATAATGTTCTTTTTATTTAACTTCAGAGCAACAGATTAGAGTATAACATAAGGTTTTGAAGATTTCTACTACAATTTTTATTAGAGCTATTATTAGTTGCAATCAACAGAAGCTCGTTGATTTGTTGACGATTGACGAAAATCGTAACACATATGAAGAGCAAAAAATAGTTACCAGAATACGATTTAGCATAACATCTTGTCATGTATTGCCGTACCGTTTTTATTTTAAAGAATATAGGTTCTAGAGATATTTAAGAACTTGAAAATAAATACTATGATCATCGTTAGAAACAAATGACAAAAACAATGAACAAAAAAACAAAAACAAAAAACGCGCTTACACCTTTTGTCTCGCTCTAAATCGAGAGCCGTATTTTATATATGTTATCTTAATTTAACTTCAGAAATACAGATAAGAGTGTAACATAAGGTTTTGAAGATTTCTCCTACATTTTTTATTGGGGCTATAGTTAGTTAGAATCAACAGATGACGACTGGTTAAAGTTCAGGGTCCTTGTTACACATGGCTGTATTTTTTTAAGTAACCTCCCCTAAATTTTGGATATAACTGTAGCGCAGTTGGGCAAGACCATTTCCGTTGACCGGTTATAGATAGATAGAGTGATAGTAAAACAATTCTAATTTCATAATTCGATTCCTAGGCACGTATGCATGAATCCGTTCTCATGCTCAAGCATGGATTTAGTGTTCAAATCTGCTTTCTTTGAGCTCACTTAAATCATATTAAACTATCAAAAGTCAAATATAACGTGGTAAACAGTATTTGTATAAAAGAATCTTCTAATTATTTTTCAAATCATTGGCAAAATATTATTTCATTATTAATTGATAAAAATGTAAATCACATATTAAGCACAAACACAAAATCTCCACTAAAACACTACTCATATGGCTCACGATTAGGACAAATCTATCATGCTAGATTATGCATGTCAAGTAGCTCTCTTGATGAACATTTATATTGGGAAAAACATCATTGGATCCCCTCTATGTGCAAGTAGTAGCATCGAAAACACTTCTCATTACCTGCTAGAATGTACCTTATACACTGACAACTACACATTGAAACCCTTTAGTATCATATAACTGTCAAATAAATATTATATGGCGATAAATCGTTATCTTTAGAAGAGAGTAAAATAACTGTTCTCGCTGTACAGGATTAAAATCTTAAGTCAAAGCTAATGAAGATTGCAGATTACATATCTGACTAGTCATCGAAACGTTTCACATAAACACTTTACTGGCTGTTTTATATGAACATGTACACACTGTCTATACTTACCAACCGGACATCAACGTTTAGAAATATTGATTGTTCTCTTTGGTGATGATAAATGGACCTTTCATTCTTAAGGATTTTAACCATTTCATAGAGCAAAGCTGTAGAGTGTAACCAATGATAATAGTAAGGACATTCTCACTGAACCATCAAATAAGTTTAGCAAATTAGAACCCGTCGAATATCATAAATACTTCCTTTCAGTATTCTTTTATCAACAAACAACCCTGCGGATGAGAATGGATAATTAAAATTAAGAATTATCTTTGTTTTCGCTCTGATGATGCCTTTATTCACATTTTAAAACTTGTTTGTCTGTTTCAAACGTTTAAAGCTTTTATTCCAGTTCTGATCAGGAGGCACAGACTAACAAGAAGAAATCGTCACCCAGAAGATGGTTTGTGTTGACATCATGCTATTTCGTCATGTTTCTCAGCACTGGGTTCCCCTTCAATATATTGATCCTCAACCCCGAGTTCCTTCGTACTTTTGAGAGCAATAAGGCAGAAACGGCTCTTATACAATCGATCACAACCGGGATGCTTCGTATAGCAGGTAAGCTACTTAGATGTGTAGCAGAAATGGTATGATGCGACCACCGGTGCAACAGGTTATTAATTTGGATAAAGCGTGCACTGTGTGTTCCGAGATGGCAGGACCAAGAGGTCTCGGAATTTATCCCGGATTCGATCCCAGTATGCCCGTTGCATTTAAAAATTACTTTCATGTTGCATCTTGTACCTAACTTAATATACCCGAAGGGATGAATAGGGTCTCGTGTCTTCAGGGTTGAAGATGATTGTAAATTGTAAATAATTTCAAGCGTTTGAAATTGATATTTCAGAATAAATCACATAAAACATATGTCGTATCGCATGATGGAATACATAGCAAACCTCGTTCCATGTGTCATGTATTTGATGCTGTAGCTTGTAGTTTTGTTTTGCCGACACAGAATGGATTGATGCGGAATTATTTAAACATATACTTTCACTCGACAAATGTCGTGCAACACTATTTAGATACTGCTCACTTGTTTATATTTGCAATACGGGGAGGGGGTTGACTTTTGGTTTAAAAATTCGGGCAATACTGTTCACATCGCCCAATAATACATAATTAAAAATCAATAAAAGTTATCAGTTTAATAATGGACTTATTTGGTAACAATTTTTGCATGATTTGTTTTGTCGATACATCAAATTTTATATTTTAAGACGTAAGTCTGTACAGAAGGTTTAAAAAAAATATTTCAAATACTTGCTTTGATTTTGTCCATACAGGAACTTTCTGTTGGAAGGCTGTGGCTAGATACGGACCTCGAATGACTGGGATAGCTGGTAGTCTTTTGGTGACACTCGGTCTGGTCTTCTCTTTCTTTGCTCAAAGTATCCCTCATCTCATCGTGACGCTTGGCCTAGTTTCAGGTATGACAGAAAAAAATATTATCAAAGACATATACAGACTCGATGCGGAAATGTTGGAGAAACATGATTCAAGAAAGCAAGTTTGTCCAGAGAAAATTATGTTTTAATATATTTTATTCAAACATATGCTGAATGTTTATATTCTACCATTTGAAAAAAAAAGGAATATCATGTTGTTTCGTATTTCCTTCAGTGTCGATAAGGTCACGTGACCTTCATAACTCAATAAATAAAGCTTAGCTCCTTCTTCTTGCACTTGGAAACATTTGACGCATGATGCCTCTTTTTCTTTTCACAAACGTATCAATTTTGCACCTCTACATTTGTACGGCAGCCGATGGCATAGTTTCTGAAAGTTGCAGTAATGTGTCCTGTTCTGCAAGTTAACATGGATGTGTGTGAAAACAATATATCAAATATTCATGCATATGAACGCGTGTTCCCTCGCATGACAAAGTTAATTCGTCGAACAGCTCAGATGTTTACATTGGAATATAGAGGAGGCTTTTGAAAAGCATTACACGTGAGTTGTTTATTTAAAAATTAAGCATCCCTGTCCCACTGCAATGTGTTTTCCCTTATACCGTAACCTCCCCATAACTTCCGTTTGGATAGAACTGTAGCACTTTTGGACAAGGACACATCCATTGACAAGATGATTAAAGCATCGGTTAAAGCATTAATAAAACAACCTGAATCCCGGTCTTTTCCGCTGAATGTTTACACTCAGAACACTTGGTGATTAAGATTTTGTTTATTTCATACCTTTATCATTTCTCATGAAGTCCCACAAGGTATGGTTTTCTTTTATCAGAAATGATTTTACAATTTTACAATTTTACAGTGTCATGCTGGAAAATCAGTTTCCAATGCTAATCATATTCACGATCATGTTTTTTTTGTCAATTTATGCATGGTTATCAATCAATGGAAAGAGTCGTTAATATCCGACGTGGAAAACTTCATATCCGATTGTTTATGATAAAGAAACATTATGAGAGAAATAGTTTTCTTTTTTGGTCAGGTTATGAGTTGATAACACCTGTTAAGCAGAAGCAAATTGAGAAGACGTCGAAGATGTGTATCAAAACTGTTTCGTCCTCAGTTGGAGCTATCACTTCATAACCTGGCCAAAATAAAATTGAGGTGGAAAAGTTCATTAATTGCAGTACGTATTGATCCATTAAACACCAATATTTACATTCCTTTCAATTGTGTCGCTTCGGCTTTCATTTGGCTAGTACGGTCAGTTCACATTTTGACTGCCTATTGTTTAACGAATTGGCAAGCTGGTTGCTTTCACTGACTTGATTACAAAACAGAACACGAAATAATACGTCGATTCAGTGTTTTAAATTATGTAAGTCAAAAGACATTCCAAACAAGAATAATACATGTTTTGTATGTTCAAGATTTTGGGAATTTATAGTGCTAGATTAAAGGGAATCCACCTGGGACTTTGTATGCCTAAACATACCAGGGACAATATTTCAGACTACTACGAGCAAAATCAAACAGCATGTATAATAACATTTGCTCTAGAGTTGGTAATAGAACATTGCACTATCGCTCAAAAGAGTTGCCTAATAAGCAGAGGAAATGATGATGATTATAGCATGTTCGGTTTAACATTTATACTAACTTCAAATGTTTTATATACTAAATATGGCTTCAATTTCAACAGGAATTGGTTTCTCTGCGACTTTTATCTCCGCAGTAACAAGCGTCGGGGAATACTTTGAGGGAAAATCTCAACTTATGGCACTGTCATTTCTCACTTTTGGATCAGGATGCGGTGGAATATTAATTCCCTTCCTCCTACACTTCCTCATTGAAGAGTTTGGTTGGAGAGGATGTTTACTAGTCATAGGAGGACTTATGGCAAATATGACGTGTTTCTTTGCAGTATGCAAACCACTCTCGATCCAGCAAACTAAAGCGAATCAATTAAAGAAAGTAGACTCTGAAACAAAACCTTCAGAGCAGGGTTTTACGAAATCACTAAGATCACTAATAACTAATAAAGTTTACATAGCACACGTCGTTGCCATGTGTTGTACACTTCCGGTTATAAGTTCTTCATTAATTTTCATAATTGATTTCCTGACGACGAAAGGTTTTGACTCGGAAACAGCAATATTAATGTATTTATATTTACAAATAGGAAGCACGTTATGTGGAGTCGTACCAGGCTTGTGTAAAAGGTATATTCCTCACACCAGCGTTCTTATTATCCCTGCGTGTTTCACAATAATCGGATCGGTGGCGACTGCGTTGCTTCCTCATGCAGAGACATATATACAGTGTGTTGTCCTCTTGGTCTGTTTGGGGATGACGTTAGGTGTTAGCGTCACCACGGTCTCCGTGACAACAGTGAAGATCGTGGGACTCCAGGACTACTCGGCAGGCTTGGGAGTATTAATGACGATGTTAGGCATCAGTGGAAGTATTTCAGGACCAATTGCAGGTGAGTTCGACCTGACCTGTAACATCCACGATACTCCAGAGGTTACGATCACGTATGCTCTCTGCACCCCTGGAATATGTCATAGCAAAATCGAAGTCCAGTGGATCAGCCAAGAAAACTAGTTTGATCCTTCGATGTACATCAAAAGAATCTCACGGTCGTGTGACTTATAAATTGAGGTGCTTTGGAATCGGTCTTCGCTTCTCTGTAATCTTCAAAGGAATCTCCATCAGCCTTGTGATAAGTCATTATTTCCTTGAGATCAATCAAATAGCTACATGCGTGCCTTCAATTTTGCTATGACACATCGAGGATGGACCTGTAACTATATTGCTGTTATTGCTTTGGTTTTAAATGTTTTTACGTTAGCTCTCCTGTTTCGAGTAGTTTACGTCGGGGTTTTGTTTTTGTTTTTTTGACGTGCCTTTACTTTGATTTGACCTAGAATTATATTGCTGTTGTCGTCAATGAAGCAAATAGTCGAGTAGGAAGGTGGGGTCCCTATGCACCCGAAGGTTATTTTTTTTTAACCTACATTTTTGTAATCCTCAAGGTATCTAGTAAATGAAATTTTATGTTCCCAATGCGAAATATTGTCCCATGGGGTCCATTGGCGGCCATTTTGGCGGCCATCTTGGATTTATTTCGAAAATTAATAATTGGCATAACCTTTGAACCAGACATGATACAGAGACAATTTACCACTTATTTTTGTTTAATTTGAGCATAACAAAACGAATGAGATCATTATTTTTAAGATTTAACGAATATTTAAACCATAAAAATTCAAATTCTTCCAATTATACATATGTGTTACAACGGACCATAGCAGTTTATATCATCAATGAGGCATGCGTCTATTGATTCTGTAAGAAATTATAATTGCTATTTAATATGTTATTTGGTATAAAATTGTGAAACAGGATGTGTTATACAGAAGCGGTTATATTTTGGTTGCAGTCACTACTACATGATCTATTAATCATCACTAAAGAGCATATCGTAATCAAGCTCTTATGCATTCTAATCTACGTTGTGGTCCTTAACCTCATGAACAGTTTTCTCCAGCAGGTCAATCAGAGAAGGTGGTAGAATGGGGCCACACGACCACACTGACTCAAAGATACCCTTCTCCGTCTTCTCCCAGCCTTGTCCAATATCATAAGGCTTTGGGTGCCAAAAGTAGCAAATCAGTGATTCACACGCTGGATGTGTGGGAGAAGGTTGTCCGTGCACGGTGGGAGCCGGGAGAGGTCCACCTTAGAGTAGGTTGTAAGCTGATCATCTTCCCCCACCATCTTCTTCAGATCAGGGCTTCGGAACATGCTTTTCCTTTCAGAACACTACCCAAGCAACCACTTGTAACGAGACCAGATTCAATAAGTATTTCCGAGTAGCCTGATCCGCTGCATTTGTGATTTGTAACCATGCCCATGTAGTTCACCCCAGTATGGAACGCGCCTGGTGTGACCACATGCATCGTGTACTGCTCTAGGAATTTCCAAATGAGAGGGAGAGCTTTCATGCAGCCACCAAGATCAAAGGTGTTGAGGACATACTCCTGACCAACCTCTGTAGCATACTCTGACCGCTTCCTTGATGACTGAGTATTCAGTGAAGGGGTGGTTTATAGGGGTAAATAGTTCATGGTTGATTTCTTGGTTTGATGCCAGTGGCTGAGATGAAGCCACCAAACCCTGGCACATGTTGCTTCTTGCCGCTGCCTCCCACTACCCGAGCAAGTATCCAGACTCGATACTCCTTGATGCAATTCAAGTACACTCCATTGTTTACAAGGGGCGGAGGGAATACATATCCTTCAGGAAATTTAGGACCAACCCGGCTATATATATGAACAGGAGCTAGAGTCTCAGGTGTATCCACCTTCAGAGAGCGTGTCTTGTTTCTCTCGTAGAGGGGAAGTACTCGATCTTGGTTAGTGGCATCAAAGTCAGATTTCACCTCCTGTATCATAATCCCCCCGGTGCTATTTACCACGTTTGAACCATGTATGTTCGTAGTTATTTTGTTCATATTGTCCCACTCCAGATGGAATACGTCGTTGCCTTCACGAGTTATAATCTGAGGGGTGAGATTGGTGGAAACCTCATCAAGGGCCTTAGCCAATGCTGTCTCAAGCTCCAAACCGAAATCATAGGTCTCACAGTGACCCAGCCTACTGAGAATAGTGGTGAGCTGTTTATTACGGTAGAGATGCCGTATGGTAGTACAGAGGAGGATGTGTTTCGGTAACTTCCATTCGCCCTTCGTCACAGCTAGGCAGATGTCCTGTAATAGTACAGATAACGATCACTATATATAACACAAACCAACTATAACCATGCTTACTAAAGGGTTGACCAAACAAAACAAAAACACACACACCAAGATAGGTATATATCATACCTGGCCAATAAAGAGCACAATACGTCTTATCTTCTCACTCTCTCTGTGTCTGTATCCCCAGATATGACTATACTCAGGAATTTCAAGAGGTCACGTGGGAGGAGTTCATCTGATGACTTTACATCTAGATCATCAGCTGTCGGAGGCCACGGAAGTGACTTTGACTCTGTGAACGCCCGCTGGATAATACTACGGAGGAGCTTGGCCACGTCCTCGTACTAGTCATTGGATCCCAACTTATAAGCGTAGGCTACCGCATCTGCTACCGAGATGCTGGCACTGTAAACCAATGTATATGTGATACAACCTTTGTCTCCTGGAAGGATTTAGCAAATGCAATCAACTCATGAATCGCATGGCCTTTAGCTTCTCACTTCTGTACTCCGGATTGGGGGAGCCATTTCTCTCCAACTTTTGAATGTAGAGAAGGCGTAGAGATGCAAACTGTAAGACTTCGTTCTGCCTTATCACTTGGTCTCTCCAATCGTATCAAGCACAGCATCAAATGTCTTCAGATGTGCAGTGACTGTACGATACTGATCTGTATAAATAGCACGGTTCATATTTCTGGCGCATCACGAATATGATTGATGTACTTTAAATTGAATGACTTGCGACATGATGGGGGGAAGCTTGCTTCCCTTGCAAACAGGTCTTCTCTTTGAACCATGCGATGTAGATGATGCAGATTTAGTTCTAAAGCTCGAGGTTCAATCTGTTTCCATGTAGGATCCTTCAGAATTCTGTCTTTGTCCTTGAATACTGGGAACTTAATACATCGATTGATGTACTTTAAATTGAATGACTTGCGACATGATGGGTGGAAGCTTGCTTCCCTTGCAAACAGGTCTTCTCTTTGAACCATGCGATGAGGTTCAATCTGTTTCCATGTAGGTTCCTTCAGAATTCTGTCTTTGTCTTTGAATACTGGGAACTTAATACATCGTTCAGTCTTTCCAGAAGGTTTTTTTCGAAGTTTTTCACAAAATATACATTCTGAAGGGAACAGTTGACTATTCGCATAATAGGCTGATGATCGTTTGCGAGGGGAGCGTGATGTTGATGCTTCTTCCGAGACGTGTGACGTAGAGGCTTCATATGTGTTCGGTGGTACACTACACTTTAAACGATCCAGGTTTTTAGTAAAGTGTTGATAGCAGCCGCGATGGTAGCCGATTGTGTCTAAATCTGCATCAGCAAGACTTTCCGGAATGCAAATACAGACATCATCCATGAATCATATGGCATCAAGAGACGCCGGTTACGAATGCCATAGAGCTGCGCTAGCTTTTCAATGACAGATCCCTTGATAGCACTGACTGATATAAATTCTAGATGCTGGATACCACTCGCGTGTAATATACATGTTACAGATGGACCCTTTAGCAATTCGTGTGACCCACCACCATTATCAGTTTTGCGTTTTTTTTTACTTCGGCATGCTTAGCTACCACAACAATAAATACATGCATATATAAGTTTCGATTATAACTGATCATCATCCCAACACCAGTCCAAAGATGCATCATACCATCTACATAAACCACCACCAATTTCATTATGCAGTTAGAAGAAACAACCTAAAAAAGTAAATGGATATTTGCAATAGTTTTAAGCGGTGAAATGATTTCTTGTGAAATATGAAGCAGACTAACATGTTAATTGTATATACCTGTTGATAACTATTTGTTCCAGATATTTTGGGAGGAAGCATAATTCCGTAATCCCTCTAAATATACATAAAACGACACAATTTGTTTAAATAACAGTCTGACCATAACAAGAACCATTTTAATCGCCTCCCAATGCCCATCTTACATAAAAAGTAGTCTCAGTTGTCTCTGTGTCATGTCTGGTTCAAAAGTTATGCCAATTATTGATTTTCTAAGAAATCCAAGATGGCCGTCAAAATGGCCGCCAATACACCCCATGGGACAATATTTCACATTGGGAACATAAAATTTTATTTACTAGATACCCTGGGGATTACAAAAATGTAGGTTAAAAAAATATATCCTTGGGGTGCATGGGGACCCTTCCTTCCTACTAGACTAAAAAGACGTTTTTCGTTCCGGAACACCTGGTCTTATTCTCCTTGTACTTTTTCAAGAGTCTCCATGTTAATCTTTTCATTGTTCATATTTAACCCTAACCCGAACCCTAACCCTAGATTTGTCAATTTTGAGTTTGAATTACGTTATTATCTTGTATTTTGGATTTGTTTACGCTTTGTCTTGATTTTGTACACTCATGTTTTGCTGTCAGAAAAGGTTGTGTACGTTTTCGAAGAACTATTTTTTCAATATGTATTTTCTATATTATAGGATTTTTTGTTGATCTGACGGGATCCTACAGGAAGCCATTTTACGGTATGTCCGCTGGTCTCGGCTTGGCGGCCGGCCTGTTCGTGTTAGCTGCGGTACTAAAACGGAAGTCAAATAACAACCATTCTGACCACGTCTCGGATATCACTGTGGTCGAAGGAGCCGACAATCCTACGTTTTCCATATAAAGAGAGAACATTTTGGATTATTTCTTATTTAAAGAAGTAGATATACCATCTTATGTGTGGCAAGCGACGTTATATGGCGAAGTTATATTTTAACACAGCTAGGAGCCTGAAGTTCTGTCAAAAACGAACAATAACCCGAATTTCTATCAAAAATGAATTATAACAGTCATACAAAAAATACCTATAATATGCTTTAAAATATGCCTATATTTCCTAAACTTCGTGAAATGAAGCGATTTAACGCATATCTCCTTCTTTCAACAGTTAACTAGACCAATCGCGTTCCCACGTTTTTGGCCCAAAGCATCGTCGATGAGTCCAAGAAGACGAAACAGCTGAATATGCAGTGTTAATCATTTTTGGCATATTGTGTTCATTTTCCAATTTTAAAGACAAAATCATTTGTTTGTTTTACATTCAACTTATAGGGTAAAACTGTTATTATCAAGCAGTTTCAACAGAGCAAGCATGCATTGCACTCTAGAAAAGAATGTGTCTGAGTTATGATAACCCCTTGTGAGGTTTCAGTGATAAATGTTCAGGAGGGTGCGGCACCAAAGCGTGACGACATTCACCAAAGGAAGCATTAATATTTGTACATATTTTCAAGACATAAATATGGTATCCAATAAGATGTGAAAGTGAAGGAAATGTTAAAAAGACAGGTAGAAACACAAGTGTATATTTTCACAATAAAACTAAGCAAACCAAACTCAAAGAAAGAGGTAATTATTATTGCTAACGATGTTAACATGACACAATAAACGAGTCCCTTTAATCGATGATATGGCCCTCGTTAAACTTCCATGCTCACAGACAGTCCTTGGTAGCAGTGTAGCAGTACTTAATGTCATAATACATCAACAACCAAGACACAAGTGATCCAGACAGTGTATCTTCTGTGAGAGGATCTTAACAAATTAATTACCGAATGACGCTGATTTCAGGACATTCAGCACTCAATGAAATAATATTTCGTATTCTTCCACTTACATTGAAACTGATAATTATATATAATGTATTCTTTTGAGTGCCAATCTTGGATGTCAACATGTTTTCATTGTTCCAAGCACACGATTCTGCTCTTGCATTTTACATGTTTTACTGCGACTATCGTAACACATATTAAGAGCATAAAATAGTTTCCAGAATAGCCTTTGGGATAACATCGTGTCATGTATTTCCTTACCTTTTTTTGGTCGAAGAATATATGTCCTCAAGATACTTAAAAACGAGGAAATGATTATTTTCATCATAGTTAAAAACAAATGACAAAAATAACTTGCAGAAAAAACAATTACACGCTTGCGTTCAGCAAAATTCGATCTTCATACACCATTTGTCTCGCTATAAACCGAGAGCCGTATGTTTGTACTTCAATTCATGATATTCAATATCTGTAAGTTCTTATATGTCATCTTCATCCTGTTCATAGAACAGCTTCGCTTTGCTACATTACTACATTTAGTGATGAAAAATGTTTGTTTCCCCATAATTTTGTAATTTTATGTAGAAGGATTATATACTTAATTAATACACATCAGAATAATCAAGTGTCACGGTGCTATCCTCATGTAATATGTATTAAAATGAATACAAATACAAGCACGACGAGAATGAGTAATCTTCAGTTTACATAGATATTATATCCGTCGCCTTAAAATCTAGACAGTGAACAGGTCCCTATTCTTTTTGATATATCTTTATATCCGGATCCTGACAATAATAAGACTTGAAAATCCGGCAACAAACGCTTAATACATTCATTGTAGTTATAATCCGCCAGGATGCACAATTTGTTTTATTTTTTAAATATAGGAGATAATTCATAGCAAACATTTAGAAAAATACAGGATTGTATTTCCCTGAAAGGAGTGGAATCAAGCTTTATGTTATGCTTTAGGTCCCTGTAGGATTTGTTCTGCCTATATATCCGGATCCTGACAAAAACGAGACGACTGGGAAGGCAGGCAAAAAACGCTAAATACATTTTCCTTTTTGTTTGCATGCGTGCGTCCTGTTAGCGGTATCGTCAGTTTAGTGGTAAACACGGATATTTTAGATCTAATTCGCCAGGATGCACATTTTTTTTCATTTTTAAATATAGGATATAATTCATAGCAAACATTTCGAAATTCTTGCAAACAACCCTGGTTACATGTGGAAATATGTGAAATTATTGTTTTAAACGAATTCCGCTTTTAGGTCGTAAATGTGTGAAGCTGATTAAGTAGAACTGTGTCTTCAGGGCATTATGTTATTGTTATTAATCATTATTCGTAAAACAGAAAATGTTTTTACCTCAAGTTTTCAACAAAGTTCATTATCTTGACATATGAATAACGTTAAACGACCTCCGATGTTGAATCTGTAACTTAAACAAATATTTTGACGTAATACACTTGGACAGGTAATTCCATAACAAACTGTATGTGTTTTTGGTGTCTATATATAGATGACACTATATCAGTAGTGATGATATAACATATAAGTCTACAACCTGCACAGCAATAGAAAATTACATTGCTTTAGTGTGATGCTCGTATGAAACATTGTCACATCGGATTCTTTAAGTTATTACCGAATTAACTGACATGACTACCCATACCACGTGTTGTCCGGATTGCAGTAGGTAAGTGCATTGTAATATTTGACAATACATGGGCTGAACAATTTCATTTAGGCCTGATAATACTTACTCGTTCCTATGAGGTTTTTTAAAATCATTAATTGCAACATCTTTTCTTCTTAATCACTTACTTCACCGCATCGTTCTGAATTTAATGAACCTCTTCAAATATATCTAAACACAATGAAACCAATAAATCACAATGAATATATTTTATACCTATAATATTCTTTTTATTTAACTTCAGAGCAACAGATTAGAGTATAACATAAGATTTGAAGATTTCTCCTGCAGTTTTAATTAGAGCTATTATTAGTCGCAATCAACAGGTGCTCGTTGATTTGACGATTGGCGAAAATCGAAACACATAGGAAGAGCATAAAATAGTTACCAGAATACGCTTTGGGATAACATCATGCCATGTATTGCCTTACCTTTTTTTTTTAAAGTACATATGTTATAAAGATATTTAAGAACTTGGAAATAGATACTTTGATCATTGTTAAAAACAGATGACAAAAAAAAAACGGACAGAAAAAAAAAAAAAATACGCGCTTGCAGTTGTCTCGCTCTAAATAGAGAGCCGTATTTTAATTTAACTTCCGGAATACAGATAAGAGTGTAACATAAGGTTTTGAAGATTTCTCCTACATTTTTTATTAGGGCTATAGTTAGTTAGAGTCAACAGATGCTCGTTGATTTGACGACTGGTTAAAGTTCAGGATCCTTGTTCCACATGACTGTATTTTTTAAGGAACCTCCCCTTAATCATATTAAACTATCAAAAGTAAAATATAAACATTGTAAACAGTATTTGTCTGAAAGAATCCTCAAATTGTTTTTCAAATAATTGGCAAAATAGTATTTCATTAATAATTGATAACAATGTATATCACATATTGAACACAACAAAAAGTATCCACCAAAACACTACTCATATGGCCCACGATTAGGCCAATCTATCATGCTAGACTATGCATGTCAAACAGCTCTCTAGATAAACATTTATATTGGAAAAAACATCGTTAGTTCCCCTCTATGCGCAAGTAGTAGCATCGAAAACACTTCTCATTACCTGCTAAAATGTACCTTATACACTGACAACTGCACATTGAAACCCTTCAGTATCATATAGCTGTCAAATAAATATTATATGGCGATGAATCGTTATCTTAGAAGAAAGTAAAATAACTGTTATCGCTGTTCAGGATTACATTCCTAAGTCAAAGCTAATGAAGATTGCAGATTACATATCTGACTAGTCATCGAAACGTTTCACATAAACACTTTACTGGCTGTTTTATATGAACATGTACACACTGTCTATACTTACCAACCGGAAATCAACGTTTAGAAATATTGATTGTTCTCTTTGGTGATGATAAATGGACCTTTCATTCTCAAGACTTATAATCATTCCATAGAGCAAAGCTGTAGAGTGTAACCAATAATAACAGTAAGGACATTCTCACTGAACCATCAAATAGTTTGGCAATTTGGAAATCGTCGAATATCATAAACACTTTTTTTTCGGTATTCTTTTATCAACAAACAACCCTGCGGATGAGAATGGATAATTAAAATTGATAAACATCTTTGTTTTCGCTCTGATGTCTGTTTCAAACGTATGAAGCTTTTATTCCAGTTCTGATCAAGAGGCACAGCCTATCAAGAAGAAATCGTCACCCAGAAGATGGTTTGTGTTGACATCAGGATATTTCGTCATGTTTCTCAGCACTGGGTTCCCCTTCAATATATTTATCCTCAACCCCGAGTTCCTTCGTACTTTTGAGAGCAATAAGGCAGAAACGGCTCTTATACAATCGATCACAACCGGGATGCTTCATATAGCAGGTAAGCTATGGGAAGATGCAATCACCGGTGCAACAGGTCGAATAACAATTGGTTAAAGCGTACACGGTGTGTTCCGAGATAGCAGGACCCGGATTTTAACCCGGAGTCTATCCTAGTCTCCCCGTTGCATTTAAAATTACGTTCCTGTTGCATCTTGTGCCTCACTTAATATACCACGAAGGGTGGAATAGGGTCACCAGCGTGAAGTTGGTTACTTATTCAATATTGGGCTAGTTTGATATTCAAATGTACCTAACATAATAGTTCTTATGCCGCTTTTTCACACCTATACCACATCGGGGCATCTTCTTAGGTATCCACAGGCAAAACGGCATCAACGATACCCCAGGCTAAAGATGCCCACTGGGCATCATTTCGAATTTCAGTACATAATCGTTAATTTTTCGTTTTCAACAGGCCACGGCATATTGTTATAGGTCTTATGCCGCTTTTTCACACCTATACCACAACTGGGCATCTTCTAAGGTATCCACATGCAAAACGGCATCAACGATACCCCAGGCTAAAGATGCCCACTGGGCATCATTTCGAATTTCAGTACATAATCGTTAATTTTTCGTTTTCAACAGGCCACGGCATATTGTTATAGGTCTTATGCCGCTTTTTCACACCTATACCACAACT